AGCACTGCCTGCACCGCTGCTGACTGATAACAATGGCCTCAAATTTCTTTCTTTTTCAGTCTCCGTCGCTCACACAGCCAGCCAACCAGCTAGTCAGTCACTCAGTCAGTCAGACGGTCTCTGAGGTCCACCGGCACACAGTGTCACCCCCATGGCATTTTGGGATGTTCCTTCGTCCTGCTTTCTATCCCCCTTCTCCTTCTATCTCCCCGTCTCCTAGGGTCTCCCGCTTCTCTCCCGGTCTGAGTTCTCGCCTCGCTTCGGTCCCTGCCACTTCTATTGGGCTGAATCCAGCAGCAGCACCAAACTACAATCCCGGATATCAGCAATTCTCACGGTGTAAACAACCGGGCTTGACTCGAAGACGCGCTGATTCCCCCCGAGCTCAGCGTCACTCACAAATCATAGACTACAGGGGCCTACTCATTTCACTGGCTGGAAGTGAACCATGCGGCCAGTTATGTTAACCCCACAGCCAAGCACAGAGCCCAGATAGAATGAAGTAGCCTATCTGAAACTAAACTTTACAGCTGTTTTTTTCTCAAAGTGAAACTTCAACATAACTTTTAAAGGCTTAACAATACAGACATATTTTCATGGTAAAGTGCTCCTACAATTCTCCCTCCTCCCTTCCCAGACAGCTTGTTTGACAGTCCATCTTTACTATTGTTCTTCTTTTCTAATTAGTAAGCTACATGTTTACTAGGCCATAGACAAATGATAGGCTAGATGTACAAGGGGAACTCCATTTGTTGGCTATGTGTGGCTCATGGTGGACAGACATCACAACTTTAAATGATTAATATTTGCCATAGTTTCATTTCACAGCCACAGGTTAGCTGTTTGCTAAGTTTGGTATATTAGCTTAAGTATTTGCTCAGATGGGGCCACAAACTATAAATTACAATTAGCAGTACTAATGTCACACTGATACTTAAATAAGTCCAGAAAGCAACAGTCCAACATGAGAGAGAAGCAGAATATAAAATAATTGAATCTGTGTGTGTAGACCTAATCCAAGAACATTATTATGAGCATATTATTTGGGGTCAAACTACAACGATAGCATCATTCAGTTCCTAAGTTGTATTCTATAAGGCCTTCATGTAACCCTGCAGTTTAGCGTGGCAATACCCTGGATCATATGTTAAATAAATGGAGATTATAGTGCTACTATTCTTTTAGAAAGTATCGCTCTATTCAGGCCATTCACCTGTCTGTGGCACATTTGTGAAATTATTTGTTGATAGTTGGTGACACTTTTATAGGCAACACGAGCCACTGGTGTTTTCCTTCTTTTCCTTCTCTCCCTCCTGGATTTACAGGGAATATGTTTTTCCAAAGCCCCTGCTGCACTTATTTCCATGCCTCCCTGAGCAACTAGACATACAGTCTGTATTGTTAAGGTTTCAACACCTACTCTCCCCTGCTGCTACTTATGCACAGTAAAAAGAAGGGGAACAAGAAAAGGTGGCTGGTGGAAAGGTAGGAGATTGACATGAAAGGTACAATGCAACAAATCAATACATGCCTATAAGGAAATCTGTCATTTATGCTCTGTGTGTGGCTGCTGTGAGTGAACCATAGCCCTTTAAAAACACAATTGCAAGTCTGTTCAAAGAAGGAAACGTTACCAGAGCCTTTTGCTTTAACATGCAGGGAGGAGGCGAGAGGCACAACAACATTTGGAGAAAAAGGTGTAGTAGGCTAAAAAAGCAAGTGACAAGAAAACCCAGAAGAAAAGAGACACACAGAGAGGTGAGCCCAAAATGGTAATGAAAATATGAAGGTGTCTCCCAGTGTTTTCTCGCACACTACTCACACTCTTGTCTCTGCAGCTCTCGCTCTCCCACTTCCCTGTATTTTTATTATTCAGGACGCTACCCCTGTCGTTTATGGCTACGTAAGATTTATGAGTTCTCTCGCACCCAGCAGCGTGTGTGTGTGTGTGTGCGTGTGTGTGTATAAACAGCCCAACTTTGAAACAGATAGCATTCGCTGTGGGCTGCTGAAATGAGAGGATGCGCTCTGTGTAGGTGGAAGGTGGGATCCTGAAATGTGCCCGTCTGCAACTTTTCCTTCCAACCCCTTTGTACGGACTGAGGGATCTGCTGCCTGCTGCTGAAAAACCTTAGTACTCATTAACCAAACCACTAATCAGCTTCTTTTTGGCCGACGTCTTCCTGTTTTTCCATTGAGCAACACTATGGGGAGAGACAAATAAGCGGTCCGGATTATATGTATGTGTTGACTTGTAAAAGCACGCCGGTGCTTGTAAAGGATGGCAGTTATTCTCTATTTTCCTTGGATGGCAGATGCTCATCGGCGGCTCCGTGTGTCGGATTGAGTCACGGATATTGGGTTTCACAACTGAAACTCAGAGCTTTGCAGAGCTCTGGAAATGCTCTTTCCATTTTTTTTTTCTTGTTTTCCCTCTGGGACTCCAGACATGTAGGCCACTGAGGATGGCACTAAGGAATTTCCTCTGATACCAGACCCGCAGCTTGACTGTGTGTGATGAAACACTGTAGTCTGCTGCTGTAAATGCCAATTCGAAATGCGCTTATTTGTGATGTTTGTTCTTTTGTATGATGTGAGGAAAAATACTTTTCTAAATCCTTTTACAGCTGTGACCTATTTGGTGCTGCTGTTAGCGCAAAGTTCACCGCTATTATTGTTGTTAGCATTAGCGTCATTACCGCAGTTACAAAGTGCTGTTTTAATAACTGTCCTATCAAATAATGAAGTGACCCTGGTATGGTTCCTGCTGCGGTTGTAACCCGCGGCCATCTCACTGCCCCGCACACCTCTGGATTAGATTACATTAGCACGTGTCATTACATTATATTACATCACACACACACACACACACACACACACACACAATTTGCATGGATGCAGCTGCGCGTTTGAACAAATTTGGTTCGATTTTTATAGAGAAAAAAACAAACAAATCATTTGTTTAAATGAATCGAAATAAAACAAAATGACGTCTTTCTCTGCATGTTTCCCCAGAAATGTCTGCACTGGTTTTGTAAACATCATGGCGTCATTAAAATGTAAAATAGTAATAATAATAATAACGATAATAATAAACGTGACCAAAGGGAATCAGCTGCGCATAAACAAAAACAAATTGTGCTAAAAGGTTTTCCATTATGCAAAGGTTATGATCCCCACCTGCGTCTGAACAGCAAATTCATTTAGCAGAATTCAGCAAAGAAATCGCTTCATGTGCAACGACAAGGTTTTAAAACCATATTGCTGCATTCTCTATAGCTTCTGATACCAACACCTCCGTGGCTGTGTGACTTCACTTGTCTTTCTAACATTACACAAGTAATAAAGTAAAACAATATAACTCACCGAAAGATTTCCTCTTATTTCCTGATGTCTGGATGGAAGAAAAGTGCTTCCAGAAAGCTCCTACGAACTGCGAGATGATAGGGGAAAGGGGGAGAGAAGGGGAGTCGGAGGGAGGGAAAAGACAGGAAAGAAAGAGAGAGATATGGAATCAAAAGGTCTTAGTAAAATCCGATACAGAGCACAGACCTCTTGTAATCTATCGAGCGGCTCAGACAGGAGCCACTGCTGACAGGTAGCCTGCTGCTGGGCTGAAATTATTCCCGGGACCAAAACAGTAAGAGCAGCGGGGAGGATGAAGGCTGAGTGGGAGCCTTCTGAGATCTTATTGATTCTGGTTATCACATTACACATCCTATTGCGTTCATTATATTTGCCCCCGTTTTTTAAGAAAAGGTTTGATGAAAGAGGGAACGAGGAAAAAATGAGGCTTCCTCCCATCACTGATGCAAATCGGAATCGAAATGATGGAAAATTACCCGTAATTAATTTGAAACGATACTGTGGAAGCGAGGTCACAGGACAAGACGCACAAAACAATAGTAAAACAACGCGCCTACGTTTGAGGTTGTAATTGTAAAAAAAAGAAAGAAAATAAAGTAATTAAAAATAAATAAATAGACTCCTTACTTACACCATAATGATCTTATTGCAACATCCAGTTCAAAGCTGAAGTTAGCAGGCTGATTGAACAGAAATAAAATCCAACAACATGCCCGGAGGCGTCTAAATCCTCGATCCCGATTCATTTTAATGGGAATCGTCATAAAATAGGTAATAATTTCAATCCTAGTGTGGAAATCTAACTGTTAACAAAACTTATGAACTCTCTGCGTTACTACTGAACAGATCCACAGCAACAGGGATGACTCCAAAAAAAAAAGGCTTGGAAATGTAACTGGACATCAAACGGCCCGATGAGGAAAACAGCGCGAAGCAGCGAACAGGAGAAGGGAGCCGGTAACAGCTGTTTCCCAGCGGCTCCACGCTCACGCAGCCCATAAAAACACGAGCATCATTCAGAAAGAAAACACACGACACTCGCTGTTGTGGCCCGGGTATCCTCCCGTGGGGCCGCGCACTCCAACGCCGGCCGTCAGATACACACTTGGTGCTAAATATACGACCATCCGTTGCTCCTTGCAGCGGTGAACATTGTTAAAATATGTGTTTTTAATAGCGTCCCGAGCGCAGGAACAACCGCGCCGTCCGTGTTGCTACATAGAGGCTTTGTCATCAAAGTGCAAAGTGTGTTATTAAAAGTCTCTGTCTGCTTCTGGAGCTGCTGACATCTTCCCCCAAACACATAAATCAAAAGCAGGGATCCCCCGACCACCCTGTACCAGCCTACACCACCACCACCACCACCACTACTACTACTACTACTACTACTACTACTACTACATCCAGTACTATCAGATTATTTCGTTTCCCTCCATGCACTCACGCACAGCTCTGCCTGCAGTCCATCCCCATCGCAGCACTGGCCGGGGATTTCTTCTCTGTGTGCCCCTTAGCCCCGCAGGTTTGTTGGAAATTTGGAGCCACGGAGCAGGAGTGGACTAGTCTAAAGTTGCCCAGAAAGTGAAGCAGGGGCCGAGTAGCTTAGCTAGCTAGCCTGTAGGCCGAGACAAAGGGAGGAGGCCGCCTCCAGAGCCACAGAACAGCTGATGACCCAAATTTTGAGTGGAAGGGGAGGCTGGGGGAGAGAGGGGAATTTCAGGCGAAATCAAGGCTCCTCTCCCCAAACCAAATCAAACATGGGGGGTGTTTTTCTCTCGGTGGACGAAGTAAAAGTTTGGCATGAAGGAGGGCAAAAACAAAGGTGTTCATGGAAGCAACAAAGGGGTTTGCTGGTGCATAATTGTTCTGAATGCATATGAGGTAAATAAGCATCAGGCTTAAATTCCCGGGAGCTGAACCCACAGACATTTATCAAAGTACATTTAGTCAAATAAAGCTACTGGTTTTTGAAACACTACATTTTTACTTACCAGTTCTCTATAGTCTCTTTAAATATGACGCAGTGTTTGACTACGCAAACAACTGTGCACATGGCGCCGTTCTTATTATAGCTGAATGCGCACTCTGAACAGGAGGCGTCTTCAGAACAGCACTTTTGCTTTTCGTCCCTCTCTGAGCCTTGAACAAACATCTGAACAAACTTTATCACTTCTCTCTGCTCTTATCTCTCCCTGGTCTGGTGGTGCCGTCACCGGCCTGCCTCGCGCACACACGCACGGGCACACGCACTATCTGTCGAATTTATTTATTTATTTACAGACTACGTGCTGGATATAAATAAAGAGCTGCGGTGTTTCCAGGTTATTATGAACGTTGTGTGCTGCCTTCTTCTTTGAGCTTAGATCAAATCAGCACACAACAGACACTCAAAAGACCACTGTAACACAACTGCACATGTCCAGACCTTACAACAGTGTTATCAGTGCTGTTACTCTACACACCTAGTAAAAAAATGATATACACCTTGTGGCATTAAAACAGGAACTGAGTGCCCCCGGAGAAGCACTCCCACAGTGACATATTGGTGCAGGGCTTTCCAGAACGACCTTTGACCTGAGGAGCAGCAGCCCACTTCTTTAATTATCAATCCACTGGCAAAGTGCTCCACAGTCCCATTTTCGTGTACTAGTTTGTGTTTTCATCCATAAACCTGCAAGATTTTTACTTATACTGGAATTAATTTGTTGCTTTTATGCAGGTAAGTAGGACAGGATGTAAGCCCACACCCTGAAATGACTGTACTCTGCTAACTGCTACACTCCTTCAGCCCAAAATGATCCCAGTGAAATGGTCTGAGAAGCAAACTCCACCCCTGCATGTTGACAGATTAATTATAGTTTGTGTATTTAGCTACAATATCATCAGTTATAAACATGTAATGGTTGATGTGCAACAAAGTTATGTCTGTATTTATCAAAGGTAGCAGATGTTTTGGTTCAACTACACTGCAGTGTTTTATTTTGGTGTACAGTGTTTTACTAAATCATCAGAGCTGAAATAGTCCACATTCTACTGAAATTGTGTGGAGTCTCACATCCAAATACTGCCACAGGCCTATGAGGAAATCTGCCCCCATTTATTCAGTAGGGCACCAAGAAGCAGCAGCCTATTAGATCCCGCATTTATCAGTCAGTACGATACATTTTAAATTGCACATGCTTATGAATCTAAACTGTGTATTGGTTTTGACTAGATTTTTATTATCTGACACCTGGATGTTGTGTTTACTGTAGCATATGTCAGCTGCATTTGTTTATTTGTATTGTTTTGTGTCGACCGTTGTAACAGTTCACTGGTCAGTCCAGGCTGCTCTTCAAAAAAGAGATGTCAGTCTCAATGAGGCCTCAGTAAAGGATAAATAAATAAATAAAATGTAACTTCCAAAGCTAAAAACACTAAAAAAGTAAATAAAATGACTTTTAATACCGATAATAACTTGAACATCTTGGTCTCAAACACCCCATGTGTATCTAGTTTCCAGATGTGACAGCGTGTCCTGCAGTGGGATTCTGGCCATGAGCATTCTTTTCAAATGATCTCCATGATTCACACTTCTCTTCCCACAAGCTGAGCTCCTTGTTCTGGTCTCACATGTCTCGTTTCCATAGGCAAACGTTTATGCACTGTAACTATATGGAAACATTTGTTTTCTAACACTTGTTGGGACATTTACACATATCGTTAGGCTACATTTGACACCAAGTCCTACTGTGGCTAACACAAAAATGACAACTATATTAATGAACATTATTTTCCTCATTAAAAAAAGCAGTGACTTACCAAAAATAAACTTGGCTTCAAATAGAACTTGTGCTTTCAATTCACACATGAATGTTTCTCAGTGAATGTTTCTGTTCATATGACTAGATTTTTTATAAAAAAAAAAAGAAAAAAAAAAAAAACAACATAAAAAAATGCTATACCTGTCTTCCCTTTACCTTCAGTGTCTCCAAATGCCTTTTGACTATCGTGGACCACCAGAGCACCCATAATCAGCCATCACCATTACCTTCCCCAAAGCTCAATCAATAGACTTCTTTTCCCAAAAGGACATTTTTCATCAAGTCCATCTGAAGCTTTTCTAGAAGTGTAATGAGGTTGAACAGCCATGCGGCATCATTGCAAACACCCCAGACACAGCCACACCAAATGGGCAAGCGACGACAAACCCAGCTCTGCAACATATTTCATCTCCTCCCCTCCTCCTCTGGGTGGATGACACACAAGTTTCAACAGCACTTTTCAAAAGCCAGATATGTACTACTGAGAAAGACTGAGAGCGAGAAAGACGCCGTGCATGTTCCTTCACCTTCAGTTTGTTTAATTCAGGTGCAAATTTCGGAGGAGAGAAGGGCTTTTGCTTCGCTGCCCATTCACTGTTATGTAGACTCAGTTATCAGCTAGGTAAACCTGCACAGCTCTAGAGCAATAAATAACCTGAAGCTTAGAGCCAATTAAACAGCTTCAGTGCAACAACAACTTCATTCTGAAATGTATTAAGAATGAAGTATTTGGATGCGAGGTTGCTGGCACAGGGAAATTGCAAAAAATCTTATGTTTTCACTTGTTGTTTTTCATTTTTATGCACTTTGAGCTGGCTGTACCTGCGAGTACACAACACAGGCTATTCATTTTACAACTTTTTTTTACAAAGTCTGAATTTCATAACTGCCAAGGGTGTGTACAGCCAGGTTTCTAAAGACTGCCATTTCTCAGTTACATCTAATAGCTTTACATCTGTTGTACAGCAGGGTGTGAACTGAAGCATTACATAAGAAACAACATTGTCTGGTGTAATAATACCCATCCCCTTATTTTGGAGAGCACACTCCTTACCAGTGCTGAAAAGTAAGTAAGTACATTTACTCAAGTACTGTACTTAAGTATAATTTTGAGATATCTGTATTTTACTTGCTCTAATCATACTTCAACTTCACTACATTTTACAAATATATATGACGCTTTTTACTCCACTACATTTATTTGATATATTTAGTTACTCGTCAGAATCTGTAAATACAACATAATCCCCCAACTCCTTTGCCC